ATATCCTCTGACGTTACCTTAACAGTTCCTCGGTCCTTGGTTAGGAGTCAAGCTGTTGAGCTACCAACCCGCCCCAAAGGCTGTGAATTTCACCAAAGATTAACCACATAATAATAATAGTATCTATCAATCTTATTTCCAAGCTATTTTTAAATATCTAATAAAATATTATGATCAGGCAAAAAGAGACTTTCAGAGTACCCCAAATTAAATTTCCCAAACTAGGATTATGCTGCATCAATTTTTGAAATTTGTCTAGCACTGTGTCCTGACATAAGTTGGGAATAAGTCTATCTCAACTTAAAAGAGGTTTATTTCTGGGTAGTTGTGCATATTTGCAAAAAAATTCCTAACTAGAACTGAAGTCTCTTGAAAATGTACATGTTAAAGTCCTATTTTCAGTTAATTCTAAAATGTGTGTATGTGTGTGATTGTGACGGGAGGGATGAAGCTTTCCAGAAATCAATATCAATATTACATGTAAAATACCCCTGTATTGTATCAGTGGATCCAGCTATTTGATACACTTTAAGACAGTAAGGTGATTTAAGATTTGTAATAAGTACTAACATTTTGAGTGCAGAATGAGTGAATTACTGAAAGTCATAGCTTGACACAACTAGATCAAGAAACTCTGGTGACAGTCAGGAGAGATCAAAAGCAGATCAGATTGCTTAACAAACTCTGTGTCAAGAAACTGAGAAAGGCACAACTGAAGATCCTGGAGAGCTGTGAAATTGAAGGGCAATTAATGGAGCCAAACTGGTAGATATATTAATAAAATTCTGAGCTGTCTCAGACCCTTTGTTTATTAGAATGTCTGTCTGGTACATAACAGATTAATGTCCAGCTACCTAAAGCTTTAAAACAAATGGAAAAGAAACTAGTGGCAGCTGAAGAAGAAATATTATAGAAATTGTTAGTTCAACTACAAAACATTAAAATAAAAAAACCACTCGTATTCTAAAGTACAAGAAAGCCACCCACATCCTGAAAAAAATCTAAAATTAATGCTTTTTATCTAATATTCCTTATGTCTTTTTCCTCCTGAATTAATAAAGTTCAACACATATTTCTCATAAAACAAGCAAACAAATAAGGTGTGGAATTTGTGCAGTTACTATTTTGAAAACAATGTAAAAAATATTCTTCCTTTTAAAAAAAATCAGTTTAATTCTCCTTTTTAGCCCTATGTATACTAAAGGTATCCCCTTGATTATGTAAAATAAATATTGTAATTACAAAAATAGAACAGGTTTGTTTGAGAGCCAGTTTGGTGTAGTGGCTAAGCATTAAGCTAGAAACCAGGAGACTGCGTTCCAGTCCCACTTTAGGCACAAAGCCAGCTGAGTGACCTTGGACCAGAGGTGGGTTCCTACCAGTTCACACCAGTTTGGTAGAACCGGTTCGTCAAATCTCAGGTTCCACCAATGGACCTGGAAAACAGGCCACACCTACAGAAGACGTTCCAAAATTTTTTGAAACCCACCACTGATACACACACACAGACACACACACACTCACACAGAGAGAGAAAGAGAAAGAAAGGAAGAAAGAAAGAAATAAAAAAGAAAAAAAGAAAGAAAAAGTGTGAGAGAGAGATGAAAGAAAAAAAAGGAAAACGGGACAGAGACAAAAGGAAAGAAAGAGAGAGAGAGAGAGAGAGAGAAAACAAACACTGGGCGGAAAAGCCACTCCCACCAGGTCACATGGCCAGCAAGCCACTCCCACAAAGGAGGCCA